ATCTCTCCACTCTATGTGATCCACTTTGAGAGGGTTAACGAAGTTGCAGCCGGTGAAGATCCCGCTCCGTTGCAGGCTGGTGATGATCATGCTCCTTGAGGATTAACGAAGGTGTTTTCTGGTAGATGCTTTTTTTTTTCTTTTTCTTTTTTGGTTTTTTTCACGTCTTTCTGTTGTGGTTTTTCAATAAATGTAATTCTCTGGCCTAAGACGCTTCTTTCAAGAGCATGGTTTGCAATCTGGGGATCTAATAACTTTGTACAAGGAGGAGGGCAATGAGGTTATCTTGATGGAAAACTCGTCTCTCCACTCTATGTGATCCACTTTGAGAGGGTTAACGAGGTTGCGGGCCGCTGAGGATCATACTCTTCGAGAAAGCTAAATCAGCCTGTTAAAAGATCAAGGCCTTTTCTGTTAGTTTTTTTTCTTTTTTTTTTTGGGTCTTTTCCACGTCTTGCAATAGTGGCTTGTTTGGGGTTTGTTTGTAGTGGTTTTCCAATAAATGTAATGCTCTGGTCTGGTCCTGCCGTCCCGGTCAGATCCGACCTGTATGTATTTAGTAAATATGGAAATCCGATCTTCATGTTTTTTTGACTCTTCTAAATATAGAATTCCTAAATCTATTGTCCTCCTTGTATTTAGTAATGATGCACAAAGTGTACTTTTTTTTAGATATATAACATTATAGGTCTTATTGTAATTAAGACCACCGTGGTCATATATTTGGGTCATTTTTTCTCTCTCTTCGATCTTCTTCGTATAGATTTTTGTTGGGCTACTAATCGGTTGTGGGCAGGAGGGAGTTGACAGATCTGGGACGAGTCAAGCGGCCACCAGCGAGGAAAGAAAGAGTGGGTGGGGGAGAAAGTGGAACAGTTGAAGGAGGGGAACAATCGACCGATTATGGGGATTTGTTCATGGATCGAATAGGAGAGGAACGAAGAGGAACAGACGATAGGTGGAATGACGGAAAGGAAGATCTGGTGTCCAATCGGGCCGGTTTCAATGAGACCGTCCAGTTATGTGCGCAAAGGAAAGAATTAAGGTATTGTTTGGATTGAAGGTGTCGGACGGAGAGGGAAGGGAAGGGATGGGGACGGATGGCAAGGGAGGGGGAGTGAGGGGGGCTGTCTCCTTTCTCCTGTTTGGGTTTCCAAAGAGACAGAGGGGGAGGGAGATGGACTGATTCGGACTCCCTTCAACCACCTTCAAATCTGCAGATTTGCAATCCGTCCGATTTGGAGGGTTTGAGAGGGATTTGAGTGACTGTTTAAATTAACTTAAATGTAATTACAAAATTAACCTTAATTTTTTTATTATATGATTCTCTTTCTTGCGGCAACAACACCAAAACTCTCATTCTCCTTCTTGTCCGCAACAGCACCAGGGGTACCCTAAACCCATAAACATCCTAACTTGAAAGGCATAAAGTTACATAGTCGAATAACCCTTTCGTTTGGTGTCGACACCAAATGATGTGTCAACACCACGTCAGTGTCGAGATTCTGCATGCTCAGCCCTTCCGTTTAGTGTCGACACCAAAATCATGTGTCGACACAACTTCCATGTCGAGATTCTTTGTTAAATTTTTAATTTTATGTTTTTTTAATCAATAATTTTCTTTTTTTAATTTTCATTTATCAATTTTTTAATCTAAACTCATATTATGACCCAAAAAAAGATATGGTAAAGTATTAGGTTTCTCTTGTGCTTGGTTTCGCTGGATAATGGAATGATTTAATGAATTGAACAAATCACAGTAAGTAAAAACGAAGAGGCAACTCCATTACAAGCTTAAAAGGTAAATTTGTAAATTTAAAATTAATTTAAATCCTTCATTTCTTTTCCTTTCTTTTACCTTAATTATCCAAACATAAAATAATACAATTCTTCCTTTCCCTTCCCTTCCCTTCCCTTTCCTTATTTTTATTTATCCAAACAAAATTAACACAGATCATTTCCTTCTATTTTCTTCCCTTCCCTTTCTTTTCCTCCCCCTCCATTTCCTTTTATTTTCCTCCATTCCCCTCCCTTCCCTTCCCTTCCGTTCCCTTCCCTTTACTATTTTCTATCCAAACAAGGCGTAAGGGAGGTAGTAGGTGTACGTGGTTGAGCAGCGGGGGAGTCCTTTGCCCCCAGTCCGCTGATATCAAGTCTGCAGCCTTGTGCTGCGTTGTTGCCGCCACCGTTGCGTTTTAGCTCCGAGAATATCTTTTTCTTTCAGATCTCCTTTGTTTATTTTTTCATTAGGTTCATGTCTTTATGTCTCCTTTTTGTAAATCATTTTGGTAGATTAATTTTTAGCCAGTCTGATTCGGATCTGACCTTTAATTTAGTGTACTTGATGTTAGAGTCCTAAAAGGGGGGAGTTAAGGAAGTCAGGGGGTTACAGGGAGAGGAAATGAAGTCTCCCTTGATTTTGAGTCAGGTGCCTACCTATTTAAAAGCAGATACCTTCTTTTTGGCATTTTCCAGATGTTGAAGTTTTAACACAAAACTTTCTGGCACGACTCTGTTTCTTTTTCTGAATTTAGCCCTTTTAATTTCTTTATTAATTTTTTTTTTTCCTCAGATTCTTTGTTTGGTTCTAATGTTATTTTGCAAACCTCATCTCTTGCTTGACTGTATATTTTGATGGTAAGTTATTCTTCTCTATATTGTTCACTTTGGTTATCGTGTTTACCTGAACAGAGGAATGGGTTGCTATACTTGGGTTCTATTTTAGTGCTAAAAGTTTAGTTTTCTCGATACTTGGCTTCTATTTTAGTGCTAAAAGTTTAGTTTTCTCAAAAGTGATTTTTATTTCTTTATTTTGTTTTATTTATTTATTTATTTATTTAAATCTTGATCAAGACTGAGCCTTTCGTGTTGAAATGTCTCCTTATGGATCAATTGAGGATCTGAAAAGGGTTCTTTTCATTGCTCTGTTAATAATTAGTGGTTGAGATTAGATTCTTTTCTTTGCTCTGTTGGGTGATTATTTTTTCTCTGTCCTAGACATCATATGGATTGATGCTACTGTCATCCTATAGTGAAAAAAACACAAAGGAAATGAAATGGAAATCAACAACCCATAAATGTTGAGGAATTCGCAAGATCTAACTAAACTATAAATTTTATCAAATTTTTCGAAAAAAAAAAAAAAAACAGATTACAAATCAACAGTACAATATAAATACATAAACAAAAACCAATATGGAAAAAAGAATCAAGGAGCAGTCGTGTATACCTGAGAGAGGGTCGCGGATCCAAAAGTGCGAGAGAAAGCAGCCTCATTGATCTCGCCATCTCCTCCTGTTTGCGTGCTGCGTCATACTCCAACGCTGAAGAAGCATTTTTTATACCAGGACTGGATAAGCTACACCATCATCCAATTAATTTTCGCCACGTGTCTCACTACTCCTTTTTCTGCAATGCTATTGGCAGGACCGCGCGGATCCATGTTTGCTGTCAACCGTACAAGTTGGGCTTGGATTGTATTGTATTGTATTGGGTTAAAGCCATCTATCGTCCCTCTACTATAAAAAATAGTGCATTTTAAACCTTTTACTGTAAATTGGCTTCATGTCGTCCTTCTACCATTAATTAACTTTACCTGTCGTCCCTCTACAATGCAAAAGCATACAAATGTCATCCCTTTAGCTAATGTAAGTTAACGGTTTTGTTTATTGATAGTTAAGTGCAAACGGTCACATCCGGTTAGCTTTTTTTTAGTTTTTTCTTTTTTTCCACCTTACCTTATGGGCTCCACCAAGTTTTGGGACTTGGTCAAAGATGGCGTTGAGGCTGTTATTGATAAGAACCATAAATTGAAGAAGAAGAATGACAGAAATTAAAGAAAAAGGAAAACAAAGAAGAAGAACACGAAGACAAGAAAAGTTACGTGGAACTTGCGACATCACATTATCACTCACAAAGATTATAACACAATTTTTCTCAAATAAATATTCAATTAATAAGTTTAGTAATTACTATAAACTATAATTAATTGACATAAACTATTAAACTATACAATTAATCAACACCCCTCCCCAGATCCCATGTCAATTCAGCAGTCCACATTGACTGATCATAAGTAGTGTCGTTTGTGTTATGAATATTTGAAAATTAACTTAAATTTTATATCCATACTTTAGTGATTCTCTTGTGTTATGATATTATTAATCAATACTTATCCATCATGTGTTTCATAACTGTTTGAAAATATGGGTTCATAAATGCAGATCAGTGTTCAATAATTTTTTTTTTTTTTTTACTTTTTTTTAAAAATTTTTTTCCTCTTTAGTCATTTTAATGATGTTGGTTTTTATCAACTTTTTC